AGCAGGGCACCCTGAGGGTGAGTGGCCTAAATCGCTTTATTTCAGATTTGAAATAAAATTCATTCATTGAGAAATTAGAATTGATTGTTAACGGATTAATTAAAGGGATCTCCTCTCATTTTTCTTCTCTGATGCAGGAGGAGTTTAGATCCACCCCGCTGGGTATCAACCCCGCCCACCAGCTGGCGTGCCTGGAGGAAAACCTGCAGCATCTCCTGAGTGAGGGGCGCAATCAGCAGGGCACCCTGAGGGTGAGTGGCCTAAATCGCTTTATTTCAGATTTGAAATAAAATTCATTCATTGAGAAATTACAATTGATTGTTAACGGATTAATTAAAGGGATCTCCTCTCATTTTTCTTCTCTGATGCAGGAGGAGTTTAGATCCACCCCGCTGGGTATCAACCCCGCCCACCAGCTGGCGTGCATGGAGGAAAACCTGCAGCATCTCCTGAGTGAGGTGCGCAATTAGCAGGGCACCCTGAGGGTGAGTGGCCTAAATCGCTTTATTTCAGATTTGAAATAAAATTCATTCATTGAGAAATTAGAATTGATTGTTAACGGATTAATTAAAGGGATCTCCTCTCATTTTTCTTCTCTGATGCAGGAGGAGTTTAGATCCACCCCGCTGGGTATCAACCCCGCCCACCAGCTGGCGTGCATGGAGGAAAACCTGCAGCATCTCCTGAGTGAGGGGCGCAATCAGCAGGGCACCCTGAGGGTGAGTGGCCTAAATCGCTTTATTTCAGATTTGAACCCACCTCCTTTCTTCTTGGACCCCCATCCAGTAGTTCGAGACTGGCCAGCAAATCTCCCTCCATTATCTTCTATATGAGCTACAACACCCCCAGGCCGTTCAGAGTTTCTCACGCCTTCCCTTCCAGACCCTTCGCAGGCTGGTCAATTGTTTAGTCAAGCTGCTAGTCAGCTTCAAGTTACAGAACACAGAATTTCTACTAGTCAGCTTCACACCACCCTTCCCCCTCCCCTTTCCTTATGCAAACCCAACCCTTTGCATCAGTTTACGACCCACCAAGTCACATCAATTTATGATCTAACGGGTTGCATCAATTTATGATCCAGGGGGTCCCATCAATTTACACCCAGCATCAATTCGCAGTCCCATGGGTTGCATCCATTTACATCCACCGGATTGCATCCGTATGTGACCCAGTGGGTCGCATCGATTTACTGCATGATCCAGTGGACTGTACCAATTTGTGATCCAATGGATCCCATCAATGTACACCCAGTGGGTTGCATCAATTTACCATTCACCGGATTGCATCGATATGTGATCCAGTGGATTGGCATCAATTTATGATCCAGTGGATCCCATCAATTTATACCCAGTGGTTTGCATCAATTTACATCCAATGGTTCGCATCAATTCATAATCCAGTGGGTTGCGTCCATTTATGATCCAGTAGACGGGAGGGTCACAGTCTGGTCTCTTCTCCATTGTCCAGAGGGGGGGGGCGAAGCAGCTCTTGAGGGCCCATCCAAAATAACAGGCCCCCCAACGGGAACAGCCTCAAGCTTCCACATGGAGTTGCTGTTACAGTCGAGAGACACCCCCTTCGGTGGGCAACCCCCCCCGGGTCCTCTCCCCCCATTCTGGGGACCAATACCGTAACAATCTGTTTTGTGGTTGAGATATAACTGTGGGACCTGCTTTTCTGCCCCCAGTTAGAGAAAACCCACCATTCTTCATACCAAGACATTTTAGTAACACTTTGCAAGATTTGTGTGGACTGAAGCATACGCTACCCTGTCCTTTTGTCCCCCAGGACAATTCCCTGCCTTTTTGCTTTACATCGGAATGGCAAACACAGCTTAGATCAGTGGTGGCAAACCTACGGCACGAGTGCCAGAGGCAGCACTCGGAGCCCTCTGTGGGCATATGTGCTGTTGTCCCAGCCCCCCCTCCCCCCACGGCCCCCTCCACACCAGCAGCCCCCCCAGAGGAGAGTCGCCCCCAGGCACAGCCCGCCTGCAGCAGTGCAGCCAAGGACATGGCAGCCGGGCAGTGGGGACAAGACTCCGCCCTTGCGCCCCATCGCAAACCCTGCGGGGCA